TCTTTCTCACACTGATGTTTCTCTCTCTCTCTCTCTCTCTCTCTCTCTCTCTCTCTCTCTCTCTCTCTCCTTCCCTCCCTCCCACTCTATATGAAGATAAATGGGAAAATATCCTCAGGTGAGGATTTGAAAAAAAAAAAGTAGTATTTTTTCCGTATCTGAGCAAAAGGCTTCAGAAATGATATATCAAATTATAGAGAACCTTTTTTTTAATGTAAATAAAGTAAATCAAAGAGACACAGAAAAAAAGATTATCCTACCTATCCTTCCCTAGCCCACAACACCTACTCCTGAACTTCTAAAGCACTTGTTGGTATCACTCTTTTGATACTTAGTTATCTATTGCTCATATTATTATTCTCCTCTAAATGAAAATTAGAGCAATGTTTAAGAAAAATATTAAGAAAGACTGCATATATAAATGTTTTCTTAAATGAAAATTAGAGCAATGTTTAAGAAAAATATTAAGAAAGACTGCATATATAAATGAATAAGTACTATAATAGTTATCTCTCTGCCATTTGCCAAAGTTATGACTCTCAACAAGTCACCTTTGCTAAATTTCATTTTCTTCTTCTTTTTTAATCCTCACCTGAGGATGTTTTCCATTGATTTTTAGATAGAGTGGAAAGGAGGGAGGGAGGTAAAGAGAGAGAGAGAGAAACATCGATGTGAGACACACATTGATTGGTTGCCTCCCACATGAACCCAATCAGGGCCAGGAATCGAATCTGCAACCCAGTACGTGCCCTTGACCAGGAATCGAACCCGAGACCCTTCGGCCCTCTGGCCAACATTCTAACTGCTGAGCCAAATCGGCCAGGGTTAAATTTCATTTTCTTTACCTGTCAAGTGAAGATAATTCCTGTCAAATTATTATCTATGTGCAAATAGAGGTGACCAATATTCTTTGGTTTTGAGGGTATTTTTTCATCATTATGCCTAGAATAAATATTATAGTTGAGCATTGCTAGCCTTTGAACAACACAGCACTTTTATTACCTTAACATTATAAAGTAAGCATTTATAAACATAAATTTTAAGAGCTGAAAAATATTTTTTTGTATGAATGGGTCATAATTTACTTAACTATTCCCTCCATATTGGGCATCAACCATTCTTGTTCTTTTGCCACACCAGCCCATAACTCTCTCAACCATGTTTCCACCTGTTTCCTCTGTTCCCATACCACAATCACTGAGTTCTGCTGAAAAAATCACAATAAGCTGGGAATTTATACCATTACAAATGTATAAGTACTTCATCTTAACTGAGATTAACTAGCCTATTAGTAATTCATCTATATGCCTTTGATCAGTGACTTTTTCCATCCCACACAGTGACCAGTGGCTACTTCATATCTTAAGCCAAACCCTCTACATACCTCTTCTCACACAATTGCCCCCCACTAGAAAAAAAAAATCTGACACAATTTTCCAACCTACATTTTTTTTTCTTCAGACCCATCTTCTTCCATGTAAGTGTTAGACAAAGATATCCCTCCTTCTTCCCTGAGGTAATAATCCCTCTGGATCTCCAAACTCATGACCTTCCTGTTATAACAAATCACACACACCCATATATTTATCTTTCTCATCTCCACCGAAACAATAACACATGTTCAATTCTTTTATCATTAAAGCCCTGGCCAGTTTTGCTCAGTGGTTAGAGCACTAGCCCAGGGACCAAAGAGTCTCGAGTTTGATTCCAGACAAGGGTACATACCTCAGTTGCGGTTCAGTCCCGGCCCTGGTTGGGGTCATGCAGGGAGCAACCAATGGATGTGTCTCTCTCATGTAGCTGTTTCTCTCTTTCTCTCTCTCTCTCTCTCTTTCTCTCTCTCTCTCTCTCTCCTTCCTTCTCTCCTTCCCACTCTGTCTGGAGATAAATGGAAAAATGTCCTTGGGTGAGGATTTTTTTTTAAAGTTTAAAAAAATATACATCTGTTTTTCAGATCTATGTCTCTCTCTAGCCATCTCTCACAAGCTTCACAGCAAGTTTTCTAAGACTGGTCTATACCTGTAGTCTTTATTTCCTCACCTCCCATCCACTCTTCAGTCTACTGTAATTTGATTTCTATCCCATTCTCTAAATATATGTCTTGTTAATGTCTTATCAATAACAAAGTCCAGCATAAACTTTCTATCTTTAACTTACATAATCACTTTAAGTTTTATACTATTAGCGATTTTTTCCTTCTTGAAAATCTCTCCCTGGAATTCCCAAAGACCAATCTCCTTGCTCTTTTCTACCTTTGCTACAGTTTTTGAGTTTTCAATGTAATCATATTGGTTTATCATATTATGTTTCAAGATTCCCCCACTACCTATAGCATAAAGTCCAAACTCTTAAGTATGGCATATAAAGCCATTCATGGTTTTACTTTTCTATACTCATTTCCTATTCTTTTCCCACAAGCACCTTTCATGCCAGCCACACCAAAACACCTGCAGCATCCCAACACACAACACTTTCTCATGCCTTTGTACATGTGGTTCCCTGTACCTCGTAGAATACCCATTCTTCCCTCTCCAACACCTCATCACACTCCCCCTTTATCCAGCTACTTTTTGTTTGTTTGTTTTTTAAATTTATCTTTATTGTTGAATGTATTACGGATGTTCCTCATTTTTCCCCCATTGACCCCTTCTCCTCCCAACTTCCGCCCCCCTCCTGCCTTTCCCCACACTGTTGTCTGTGTCCATTGGTTATGCACATATACATAGAAGTTCTTTGGTTTATTTCTTCCCACCTCCCAACCTCTCTTCTCTTTGAAGTTTGTCAGTCTAGCAACCAATCTGTACTTCTTAATCCCTTCACCTTTTTCACCCATTCCCCCAACCCCCCTCCCATCTGGCAACCAACAAAATGTTCTCTGTATCTATGAAAATGTTTCTGTTTTGCTTGTTCATTTTGTTTATAGATTCAATTGTTGACAGCTATGTATTCATTGCCATTTTTTATCTTTTTCTTAAAGAAGACCCTTCAACATTTCATATAATAATGGTTTGGTGGTGATGAACTCCTTTAGCTTTTCCTTGTCTGGGAAACTCTTTATATGGCCATCAATTCTAAATGACAGCTTTGCAGGATAGAGTAATCTTGGTTGTAGGTTCTTTCTTTTCATCACTCTGAATATTTCTTGCCACTCCCTTCTGGCCTGCAAAGTTTCTTTTGAGAAATCAGCTGACAGTCTTATGGGAACTCCCTTGTAGGTAACTAACTGCTTTGAAGATTCTTTGTTTTGAACCTTTTGCATTTTGATGATGATGTGTCTTGGTGTAGGCCTCTTGGGGTTCATCTTGTTTGGGACTCTCTGTGCTTCCTGGACGTGTATGTCTGTTTCCTTCACCAAATTAGGGAAGTTTTCTGCCATCATTGTTTCAAATGGGTTTTCGATTTCTTGTTCTCTCTCCTCCTTCTGGCACCCCCAAGATGCGAATGTTGGCACGCTTGAAGTTGTCCCAGGGGCTCCTTACACTATCCTCATTTTTTTGGATTCTTTTTTCTTTTTGCTATTCTGATTGGGTGGTTTTTGCTTCCTTATATTCCAAATCGATGGTTTGCTTCTTGGCTTTACCTACTCTACTACTGAATCTGTGTAAATTATTCTTTATTTCAGTTAGTGCCTCCTTCTCTCTGACTGTGCATCCTTCATTTCTGACTAGTCTTTTTTTATGCTCTTGAGGCCCTCACTAAATTCGCTGAGGTTCTTACTAAGTTCTTTGAGCATCCTTATAAACAGTGTTTTGAACTCAGCATCTGTTAGGTAGCTTATCTCCATTTCGCTTAGTTCTTTTCCTGAAGTTTTGTTCTGTTCTTTCATTTGGGACCTGTTTCTTTGTCTCCTCATTTTGGCTGCCTCCCTGTGTTTGTTTCTATGTATTACTTAACGAGAGGTGTGGGGCTAGCTGATACCAGATGCTGCTTGTTTGAAAGAATTTAGGAAAATCTGAAGCAGGATCCAAGACAGGCCAATCCTACGGTAAAGCAACTGGCAACAGCTTGGGTAGGCCCGAAAGTTGGGTGGGGTGGGGCCTCAGGGAATCACCAGGGTGGGGCAAACAGTGTGAGCCAAGTTGCTGGAGTTCCAGATATGGCGGCTCTCTGCCGCCCCAGGGAAGGGCTCACCAGAGGAACCAAGGCCTCTGACAGCACGTCTGCCCAGTAGAATGCGCCCTCTTCAGCCCTCGCTCTAATGCCAAACAGCTCAGTTCTTCCCTGTATGTCTCTGGCGCCCCTCAAGCTGCTTCCCCTCTGAGCTTAGAGGGAGCAAGTCCAAGTAAGTTCGTGCGCGGGCCCTTGAAGAGGAGCTGCCTAGGGCTCCAGCAGCCTCAGCCTCCCTGAGCCTCAGTTCCCGCTGGTTTTTCCAGCCAGAAGTTATGGGGACTTCTCTTCCTGGCACTGAAACCCTTAGCGGGGCGCCTGGTGTGAGACGGGAACCCCTCAGTCCTCAGGGAGGACCATCCCAGCCGAGGTATCCTAATTTTTATCCGCCACATGTGGGTGTGGGACCAGCCTGCCCGCCTCCTCCCCTCCTACCAGTCTCTATGTGGCTGCATCTTTAATTCCGTAGTTGTAGGACTTCCATTCAGCTTGATTTCAGGCGGTTTTGAATGATGGTTGTTCTGTAGTTTAGTTGTAACTTTGATGTAGTTGTGGGAGGACATGATAACGCATTTACCTACACCGCCATCTTGACCGGACTATCCAGCTACTTTTTTCAAGACTAGGGTCATGTAGTTTTTTCTTCCCTCACATCTTTAGGCCTAGTTAATCACCACCTCCTCTTTGATTCCACAGAGCTTTTCTCAATCTTCTGATATAAAGCTTATTCATTATAGTTTAGCTGTTGAACTGTCTTTGTACTAAAACTGTAAGCTCCTTGAGGATGCACATTTTCTTATTTCTTAGCTCTAGTGCTGAATATCTCACAGAGAGAAGGCACTCAATAAATATTTGTGGAATTAATGCATGAAAGGATCAGCATTTAGGCTTACCATAGAGAGGAAGTGAAGATCCAAGAATAATTATGCTGAAAGAACAGCAGTGGAATTTTACTGAAGGCAGAAAAAAAAAAACGGTCAGCCTGGAGACAGAAACACATTTTTGAAATTTATCATAGAAAAAGGTAAAATGAGTCATAGAAAAAGAATAATGGTCAACCACATTAGCTACAAATGCTAACCCAAACTTGTCTTATCCCAAAATCTTACCCATTCTGATCTTAGAGCCAAACACGCACTAGGTCAAGTAACTTCTGGTGAGATGTGCAGCTGCCTCTAGCTAAACCTCTAGCGTAAGCCCCTCATCCTTACTTCTCTAAACATTTCCCTATCACTGTATCACAGAAACACTACCTTCAAGAAAAGTGAGCACCTGCTATATGCCAGACACTAAGCTAAGTATTACTTCATTATACATAAATGTATATTTGCATATATATGTGTGTTCATTTACATTTTATAATTCTTACAAAAATCTTTGTTAATTAAGTATTACTACTCTCACCCTGGCTGGGTAGCTCAGTTGGTAAGAGCATGGTCTAAATACAGGAAAGTTGCAAGTTCGCTCCCTGGTCAGGGCACAAACAAGAACAAACCAATGAATGCATCAATAAGTGGAACAACAAATCTATGTTTCACTGTCTGTCTCCCTCTCACCCTTCCTCTCTCGTTGAGCATCGTCCTGTGCACTGAAAAGTTGTTGGTTCAATTCCCAGTCAGGGCACATACCTGGGTTGCAGGCCTGATCCCCGTCCTGGTTGGAGTCATGCAGGAGACAACCAATGATGTGTCTCTCTCACACCAATGTTTCTCTCTCTTTCTCTCTCTCCCTCCCTCCATTCCACTTGATCTAAAAAAAAAAAAAATCAATAGAAAAATATTCTTGGGTGAGGATTAACAAAAAATAAATAAAATAATAAAGAAGTATTACTCCCATTTTATAGATGAGGACTATTCAATGTCACACAGTTGATAAGCTAGCCAAACCAGTCTTCTAACAAAAAGTACAATCCTCTTTCCTCTCAAAGCACCAAGTATATGAAGGTATGACTTAAAAGTTTCCAGTGGTCTTTCAGGGACCCCTCACATCATGTGTAAGGCTAACTCTATGGTAGCCCTCTATGGCAGATGTTATAGAATATTCAAAATTAAAATACAACCTTCACCAAGTTCATTCTCTGCTAGTTAAGGACCCTCTCTCTCTTTTATTTTTTTTAAATCCTCGCCGAGGATATTTTTCCATTTATTTTCAGATAGAGTGGGAGGGAGAGAGAGAGAAAACATCGATGTGAGAAAGACACATCAATTGGTTGTCTCCCGCACGACCCAGCCCTGAACTGCAACCAAGGTACATGCCCTTGACCAGAATTGAACTCTGGCGATGCTCTAACAGCTGAGCCAAATTGGCCAGGGTAGGACCCTCCTTCTCTTTTATCTGTACTTCCCATTCCTCCCATCAAAACCCAAGAGAGTTAGTGAAAAATTTATTCTCAAATTTAGAGTTTGTGATAAAGTAATGGCCCTCCAAAAATGTCCACATCCCAATCCCTGGAACCTGTGAACATTACATAACATGGCAAAAGGTACTTTCCAGATGTAATTAAGTTAAGAATATTGAGATGAGAAGATTATCTTGAATTATCAAAGTGGGCCAAAGAAATCACAACGATCTTTATAAGAAGGAGGCAGAAATATCAGAATCTAAAAAGGAGATAGGACAACAGAGGCAGAGAAGAAATGGCAGAAAGAGACAGATAGACAGAGGTGGGGGGAGAGAGAGAGATTGATTTCAAGATGCAACACTACTTGCTGTGAAATGGAGTAAAGGGCCCTGGCTGGTTTTGCTCAGCGGTTAGAGCGTTGCCCTGCAGTCCTGAGAGACCCGGGTTCGGTTCCTGCTAAGGGCACGTACCTTGGTTGGTTTGTCCCCGGCCCTGGTTGGTCGTGTGGGTGGCAGCCACTTGATGTGTCCCTTTCACATCAATGTTTCTCTCTCTCCCTCCCACTCTATCTGAATAGAAAAATGTCCTTGGGTGAGGATAAAAAAAAAAAAAGAAAGAAATGGAATAAAGGGTCAGATGCCAATGCAAGCAGCTTCTAGGAGGAAAGGGCAAGAAAACAGATTCTCTTTTTAGAGCCTCCAAAAAGATATATAGCTTGTCAACCTTGATTTTTAGGATTTTTAACATCCAGAACTGCAAAATAATATATTTATGTTGTTTTAAGCCACTAAGTTTATGGTAATTGGTTATGGTAGCAGTAAGAAACTAATACAGAGTTCCTGAAAGAGGCAGTTCCAACTTTATCTTCCTGAATATTAATTTTTCCAAACTTAACTTCAGTATCTACTCATAAATCTTTTTTAATGTACTTTATAAACATTGTTTTTACTATTTTAGAACAAACCTAGGGCTTGGCCGGTGTGACTCAGTGGGTGAGCATTGACCCACACACCGAGAGGTCGCCAGTTCGATTCCTGGTCAGGGCACATGCCTAGGTTATGGGCAAAATCCCTTATGGGGGGCATGCAGGAGGCAGCCAATCAATGTTCTCTCTCACTGATGTTTCCACCTCTCTCTCCCTCTCCCTTCCTCTTTCTCTAAACAATAAAGAAAAAAATTAGAAATAAAAATCTAGGGCAAAAATTGCTCATAATCCTATCATCAAATCAATGTTTTCATTTGATCATATTCTAATTATTTTCCCTTACCATATTATATTTTTATGTATTTGCTGTAATATCAAGGAATGGATTTTATAATCTACATTTTACTAGTAACACTTAGTCTATCTTTTTTTCATTTTGCTCCATTTTTTTCTGAGATCCTCTCATCCTACTCCTTCCCAACTTCAGGTAAGCATCCTTTGCTGCTCCTGCAACACTTCAAAAATACTCCTGTCTTGGTCCTGGCCAGTTTGGCTCAGCGGTTAGAGCGTTGACCCATGGACCAAAGAGTCCCAGGTTTGATTCCAGCCAAGGGCATGTACCTTGGTTACAGTTCGTTTCCGGCCTCATTGGCAACCAGTCGATGTGTCTCTCATATCAATGTGTGTGTCTCTCTCTCCCCCCTTCCCTTCCCTCCCACTCTGTCTGAAAATAAATGTAAAAATATCCTCGGGTGAAGATTTAAAAAAATAATAATAATAAAATACTCCTGCCTTGAGGTCTTTGTAATTGCTGTTCACTCTACCTGTAATACCCTTCATTGAGCTATCCCCACACCCCTCACACCCTCACTTCCTTCAGGTCTCTGCTCAACATGTCACCTTAAGAGAAGATATTTGCAATACTTGTTATAGACAAGGAATGACATCAGAACCTGTAACTCCTAGGAAATGAATAAGAAAAAACAACAACAGACAATCCAATAGAAAAATGGGCAAGCCTTGGTCGATTTTGCTCAGTGGTTAGTCGGCCCGCACACCAGAGAATCCCGGGTTCAGTTCCCACTAGGGGCACATACCTTGGTTGGTTTGTCCCCGCCCGGTTGGGGTTGTGTGAGTGGCAACCACTCGATGTGTCTCTCTTTTTTTTTTTTTAATCCTCACCCGAGGAAATTTTTCCATTTTTTGTACAGATAGAGTGGGAGGGAGAGAGAGGAAGGGAGAGAGAGAGAGAGAGAGAGAGAAACATCGACGTGAAGGGACACATCGAGTGGCTGCCACCCGCACGACCAACCAGGGCCGGGGACAAACTGCAACCGAGGTACGCGCCCTTAGCGGGAACCGAACCCGGATCTCTCTGGACCGCAGGCCGACGCTCTAACCGCTGAGCCAAACTGGCCAGGGTCGATGTGTCTCTCTTACGTCAATGTTTCTCTCTTCCCCCTTGTCCCTCCCGCTCTATCTGAAGATAGGTGCAAAAATGTCCTCAGGTGAGGCTTAAAAAAAAAAAAGAAAAATGGGCAAAAGACATTTCATAAAAGAGGATAATGGCTAACATATGAAAAGATAATCAACCTCATTAGTTATAAAGAAAATGCAAATGAATTTAAACTACAATGAGATACCATTACACATTTATGAGAGTTGAAAAAAGTTAAATGTCTGACAATACCTAGGGTTATAGCAGATGTAGAGTAATGCATATACAATTATGGTGGCAAATAGTTGTGATATTCTCTAGAAAGGCTGAAATACACGTATTCTAGAATCTAGATATATGGAGTTCTGAATCCTAGATATACCCTACAGAAATTCACTGATGTGAAAAAAAGGCATATGTGATAAATGTTCATGGCAGCATTGTCCATAACAGCCAAAACAGAAACTACTCAAATATCTATCAAGAGTAGAAATTAACTGTGATATACAATGAAATACCATATAGTAATAAAAAAAGAAGAAACTATAGCTACATGAAAACAGTATAGATGACTCAACATAATGCTGAACAAAAACACAAGAGAATAAATATGTTATAATTCCATATACGTGAAATCCAAAACCAGACAAAACTAAAATATATCATTTAGGAATACAACTACAAAGAAAAACAAGGCAGCCCTGGCCAGTGCAGCTCAGTTGGTTGGAGCATGGTCCTGTACACCAAAAGGTTGCAGGTTTGATTCTCATTCGGGGCACATACCTAGGTTGCAGGTTCAATCTCTTGTCAAGGCGCATACAGGAGGCAATCGATTGATGTTTCTCTCTCGTATTAATGTCTTTGTCTCTTTCTCAAGTCAATAAAAATATATCCTCAGGTGAGAATTTTAAAATATGTATTGCATACATATACTTTTACATGTTGATGCTTTCATTTCTACAGAATAGATTTCCAGAAGAGGACTTTTATTAGATATTGTGAAACTTTCCAAAATGGCTACAGCAATTCACAGTTCCACCATTCAAAACCTAATTCATGAATCTTAAGAGTTCATTTACTTATAATTTATGTCCACTTGCTTTCAAAAAGGATGAGGCAGCTAACACATCTAGAAATACTATCTTAGCAACTAATACTCTAGGAGCAGTCAGGGTCCCTCCCACAACTTTTGGATCTCAGTATATCTAATTTACTACTATCTGCTCTAGGTTCCAAACCTGGAAGCAGT